CCTGTCTGGAGGGAGAAGCATCTTAGTATTTCACATATGTTGGTGGCTGCCCGTTGTTACAGCAGCGAAAGGGAAGGCGTTAAAGCAGAAAGGCAGGCTGCTGCAATCTCTGTGTCTTCAGTGTAATCTCTGGGAAGCCAACACATAGCTGGATTTGTTCCCTGTGGTAAAAAGCAATTCCAAGACCTCACCTCTCATAGGCARTGCTCAGCAGAATGAAATGGCAGTGAACACGCTAAGCATTGCCCTACTTTTACAGAGGGCCTGGCCTGCTAACCATGGGGCGCCCATGTGGGGACATCCCCATATGGCGACAGGGATCCCTCTGTTACTGTGTGAAGGCATTAATAACTGCAAGAGAAAACATCAGTGTCTTGCTGCCGTGGCAGAAGGGCCACTGTTTGAGCTCTGTGTCTTAATCATGAAGTCGCTGGGCTCATAGTCATTCACCTTGGTACAGGACCGGTCAAGCTAACACCGGCTGAACACGCTTGGGAGGAGCTGAAATAACACCTGGAGGAAGGCCTGGGGCAGGTCCCCGGTTCAGCAGGGTGTGATGGTCGTGTAAATTGGTGGGTTGGTGAGGGAAAAGCCGTGTGACAGAGGTGTCCTTTTAAATAATAGGTACAGGTTCATTTTGTGGGATATTCATTTTGTTTTAAAATATGTATTGCATCGAATTGAGCATGCTGTGTTGTTRAAAGGGGTCATATCTTGGGATAAAGCTGCTTAATGGAGCAAACTTCTGAATACCAGAATATCCATTTTTCCCTTTTTTCCATTCCCCTGTGTTCTTGTTACTGTTCTTGAGCTGCTGCTTGTATCTTTGTAGGCCTTAAAGGCTGCAGCAATCATGGATCACCATGCCCTCTAAACAAGAGGCTACCAAGTAACAAATGCTGATGTTGTCCCCAGCAATCTGACCTCGAGAGGAGTGTGATATTGAAGGCAGTGGTTTGTGCCGCAGTCTCCAGTTCCCAGTGGCGGGTGAAAGCTGCCTGGCTGGGAAGTACTGAGGGGGGCTACCGCACAGCTTGGAACCACAGCTGAGGTCCGGAAAAATTACATTCATTTAGTGAAATGTACAGTTGCCCGCTCCTGTATCGCTGAGGTGACCTTCAGCATACGGCTCCGCTGACAGGAGGCTGTGCCGGAGCCTGGATGCGGGCATGTGCCTCCGTGTTGGCAAAAGGCCGGGAGCAACAGGAGCCACTGCTTCTGCAACCCAGGTGAAAGGCAAAGCCCCCGCGACGGGGTCCC